CAACTGTGTTTGTAGCACAACAAAGTCATGAAAGTCATTTCTGTTTTCTTTGGTTTGACTATCTTCTGCCACTTTTCGTGTTTCCATCCCTAAAATTGTCCAAGAATTATGAATCTAGTTCTACTTCTATATTTTTAATATGCAGTATCAATGCAGCCAATCCTGAGTGGGCAAAATAGGCCCATCTTGTCCACTCAGGTAGCCAATCAGAACACAGAATTCGCTTCCTATTGCCCATGGGCATTGCAGGCGATGTAATAAATTTGCATATTGTTATGCAGGAATGTTTGTTTGGTACCAAATGTGGTGTCAATTGATGGGTTGGACAAAGTAGCACCATGCAAACAACAAAAGTGTGACACATCTGCATTGTGTGTACAACAAAGTGATGTTGCAAAAGAAATAAAATGCACCAAAGAATTCAGGTCTTGTTATGTGATGTTTGTTAATCATTGTAATATTAACAATGGAGAACACCATGTATGAAGACAATTCGAATGTGAGCCCAGCAGAATACCTGTCAAAAAAACTAGAAAAGCTCTCACTTAAAAACAAAAAAATTTTAAAATTGGTGTGCATTCAAATTATTTAAACATTCCCGTCTCGTCAAAAATGCAATGCTACATTAAATGTAGACTTAGAACAAGGAGCAATAATGATAGTATCGACTTTGTACAAAAGATGAGGAAGAAATGGTCTTTTACATGTGTGACATGGGTTCCTTCGGGTTAGTTCAAGAAGGCCTGGTTACCAGGACACTGGCCATGCTTGTTTTTCTTCACGGTGTTTTACCAGGTATTGGATCGATTTCATACAATCAAGACTTGTTTCAGGCCCTCCTGCGCCCATATTTCATATGTTAATTGTCAGGAGCTTCAAGTAGAGATATTGTAAGTTTTAATTCATATATTCGATTGTTCTAATTCAGTTTTTGTGCAGTTTTCTGTATGATTCAGTGTGCTGGCTTCCACGTCAAATGCTTTCTTTTACAAATCAGTTTTATCAGCTCTTTTAGGACCAATCATCACCAGGATGTATACGAGACTTTAGGGATAGTACAGATTAGTTCTCGCTGCCGGGATAAGCCGTGATTTTGTTGTTATTTTATTCATTAGTCATCTTGACTTACAAGATAAAGTTTTCGTTGATGTAAACCCATTACTTGTGGAACATTATTTCGGAAACAGGCTTTGTCTGAAGTAGAATAGTTAATTTAATCGACTTATTTAACTAAATGTATACTTCTTTTTGTCTTTGCTTGTGTTATAAATAAACTCATTTGGAGTCAAACTACCTGTGTCACACATGGTCAGCACTGAATCGAAAATCATTGAGTTGTATGAGTCTTTGCGCAAATATCCATCTTTGAATAGATGTAATACATTATCAAGTGTGTATAAGAATGCGAGCCACAGAAATTATTGTGCTACACTGAATCTGTGTAATGACATTGAAACAAATCCTGGGCCTCCTATACATGGTATTGATCCTACTCTAACAGTCAAGGCACCATATAGTCAAGGTGATATTATGTACTTTGGTGAAAATGCTGGAAAACAATGTGTTGCTATGAGTTTGATTGCTTTGATTTATAATATAATAAAAGCAATACGTACCTGTATTGACCTGGTACAAATTTTGGAGATGGGTAATCAATTGTATTCAACACTGTCACAATGTAAAGGGCAGATGTATTTAATACAAACAGAATTACCATCAATGATTGCTTTGTCTGAGAAAAATTATCAGTTTAATTATAGTGAAAGCTGTACTCTACACCACTGTAAATTGCTAGAAAGTGCTCTACACTACTGTGATTCAATAACTGAGGAATGTCAGTAGTGTCTATAGACAGGGCTTTTGAATCACTGTTGCCACAAAGTTACTCTTCATTTATTCTTACAATAGAATGTATTGGTGTCAGTATCTATCATACTAATAATGGGAGTTAAAAGATCTTTGATTCTCATGCAAGAGACGAATATGCTGGAAGCCATCCCTCGTGTACATGTGTAGTACCAGAAGTACCATCTATTCAGGGCTTAGTACAGTATTTCCAGACTATACACTCCCTCACTGACAATTTTGAACTCAAAGGAGTGTAGATTAGTACATATCAAATAATTGCAGTGAACAGTTTGAGAGAAGAACACAACTGCTCTTGTAAATAATGCTCTGCTGAAGGGCTTTATGCAATGTGTTACTCAGTAGCAAAGTCTTGAAGTCATTGGAATTCCAGAACCTTACTTGCATAGCTCACCAAGGATATAAATTCAACCGTAACACGGGCATCAACAGGCCTCTGAAAAGGGCAGGGTGAAAAAACTTTTTAGGCCACGCCCACAAACCAGGACCATGGTACTTCTTGGTATTTCTTTTTAGAACCACTGCGTAACATGAATGGTCAGCACTTAAAACAGCAAGTCTACCTGTAGCCCGACTTGCGATCTTAGATCGTCTTGTTGAAAAATGTAATTATCATTAATAATATATTATCAAAAATATCTTTGAGGTATTTGGTTTTGAAATAAACAGGAAAAAAATCGTTTTCATTGAAGACATTTCAATGAGCTCAGCCGACGAACTAAATATGTGTATATACTTTGGCTGATTGATAAATTGATTAATCTTTTGTAAACATTTCACAGCACTTTTGTGAACGAAAATGGTACTGTGCTTTTCTGAGATAAAAGAAAATTCGTAGAATTCACTACTACATGTACATATCTTTAATTTCTAACAGTCATAAACGCTTGAAGTCACATAAAATGGGTTCTAAAGTATATCGTTCTGGGACACGAAAGTGATAGAGGTTTGTTGTCAGTTGCATGCGGAGGAACCATGTAAATATATGATTGCCATACAGCATAGATATTATCGGCAGACTGTGAAATGGAGTGTGACGTAGGAATGAAAAAGAGGGAAACTTGGCTTGTGTGAGACGAAAGATTTGATCACTACGTCTAAATTTGAAAAATTTTTAAACCTGCGTAGCGCTAATTACTACTTTTGAACCTGTTATTGCTCTCGGCTCCAGCTTTTGCTTGTCTTTCAAGCTTCTTATACTCTCGTGTGCTTCATAACTTAATGAACGATCACTCACATGAAATCAGTTGGTAAATAAATGTCTCCTGTCAAAGTTTAAGAGACATCAGGTAATCACAACACAGTTGGTGCTTGCCTCGTATTGGGTCCTGGGTTTCATCAAATGCCAAATTATTTATTTCGCCTTCGTTCCATTATTAATATATTTTTATTTTTTCGACTCTACTCTTTTTTTCATCGTCAAATCCCTCATTTTTTTCACCGAAAGGGAAATAACTGATCGACAAACCAAACAAACAAGTAATAGCTGAAAGGTGCAATATCTTATTTTATTCTTATGTGAAGTTCTTTCTCGGTAATTTTCCTTTAAACTATCTTTCATCATTCAGAATAGCAGCTGAAAAATAATATGTAAACCGTCATTAGCTCGTCTCAATAAGTCCATTTTAAATCAAGTACAAATTTAGCAATGAAGGTTACTTTCCTTGGTAAACACAAAGACATCTGCTATATTTTTATTTGACAGTCTGAATAAGGGATGTTTTTAAAAGTCCATTATATTTTTTTTCAAAATTCCATGTTCGCCTTAGAAAAATAATTTTCGAAAAATTATCGATTTGAGAGAGAACCATTGATGATAAATTTTATTTCTAATACTTTCTTAAACTTTGTTAACATTTATGGGTAACAAAACCATAATCACATTTTTATATACATAAAAGACATTTTTCCCAGGGAACTGAGCCTGCATGTCTAGCAATATGGCGTAATCTCCAGGCGTCATCTTTTAGCTGAAAATTTATCATTATTACTATTATTATTATGGTAAAACACTTACATCGGTTATGGTAAAACATCGAGCGATTCTCTTAAACTACTTTTGACGTTTTATTAAGTGCAACATATTGCTCTGAAGAATAAACATGCAAATCGTCTGATCGAAAATGACTTGCTGTACTCGTGATAAACTGGGGAGTTTGACCGCAAAAAACTGTTCTATACGGATTTGTTTCCATTGCCTTTCCTTTAGTTGTTTAGGTGCAAAAGAAAATTCCATCGACAAACTTCCAGCAGTGATATTTGAGCGCACGTTCTCAAATAATAAACGTCTCTTAATGAGTAAGCTTTGAATGTATTCAATCGAGTACAGTTCAACGGCGTTTTAACTCCATGGTCAACAAAGTGCTCGTCTGATTGTCTGCTTTACTGCTTGTCTTACCTCACTAATTTTCCAACAATAAATTAAAGGGTTCAACGTCGAGTTAAAGAAAACAAGGACAACTGTTAATCCTCTTACGATGACTAAGAGCGATGAATATATTTTGCTATTGCTGATCACAATATCCACTACACCAAATGGCAAATAACAGATAACTAGTGCTAACTGCACCCACAGTGCACTGTTCGCTGCCTTCTTGTATCGAGAAATGTTCGGATGGCTAGTTTGATGATGAAACTGGTCTTGTACTTGAGCCTGATGTTGACTGAGAGTGTGAAAAATTTTCGCGTATGAGGCGAATGATACAATTATGCAAGTTGGCATCAATATACGGCCATAGAAAAATGTTACAGAGTAATCTAATGTGTAGGATGAAGCAATGACACTAGATAGAACCCAAAAGCTAGCTACCATGATATATGTGCGACGCAAAGTTACAATCTGTCTGTGCCTCAGCCCCAGCAATAAGGCGAGAAGTCTATCTAAACTTATGGCCGTCATCGTCAATAAGGAAACTTTACATAATGCATAGCCTGTTACGTAGACAGCTTCCCTTACATATTGACAAAGATTCCAACGCGCGTAAACCAAGGACATGCAATAAGTAGCATAAAGAGGCTGGGCAACAAGACCAACCAACAGATCAGTTGTTGCCAGACAGCGATACAAAAGCTTGGACGGCGGATGAAGGGAAGAATCCTTGTAAAGGGCAACAAGGATGAGAAAATTTCCAAAAAATGCTGTGATGGAAAGGAGAATGTTAACTGCTGAGAAAAGAATTGATTCTTGTTGAAGCCCACCCACCAAAGCGGGGGAGCATAGCAGTTCTTCAAATGTTTTTTCTTGTGTTTCACCTTCTGTTACATTTGTCATCGACATCATTCGGTTTTCGTTTCCTTATTCTTGTTGGTTAATTGTGATTGCAGTAAGAGATACTTCGTTTGAAAACTACTCGTCCTGCCACGATCGCTGAAACCTTACTTCCCACATAAGAATCAGTTACAGACTTCCTCGACAGCATCCATTCATTTAGACTGTAGAGGAAAATTATTTAAAGTGTCAAAGGCCTGGTTATTAGTCTCGGGTTTCATCAAATACTAAATTATTTGTTACGTTTTCGTTTCCAGTCTTAAGGTTACCGTGCACCTTCGGGGGGTGTCTCGCGTCCAAGCGATGTAGCGCGCCAGTTTAGACTATATATATTTGATATAGCTATCAAATTAAAGCTTATAGGACTGGCTATCAGACTATACCAAAAATTTGGAAAAAAAAATTAATTGTCGAATTTTTCACGACTTCTAAATGCGAGCGCCCGAATCACCTTTTGAACGTTACATGGTTAAGGCGAATTTTGTTCTTCGCTTATTTAATGTGTTCCGGGGCCAAAGCGCTAAAAAACGTTTCTGCGATTTGCCATATTCAATTTCAGTGAAAAGGTTAGAACATTATTAAAATAGGATTAAAAACATGTGGAGTGATCGTACAAAAATCGCTCTTGAAAAAAAAGTATCCAGAAATAAAAAATTCGGTGACAACTTTATGTTGTTTATATGTAAAACTAGCTACTGTCAAAATTTGAGAGCAATCGAGCAAATTCCCTTTGACTTGTAGCTCTTAAAAGGTGATTCGGGCGCTCGCATTTAGAAGTCGTGAAAAATTCGACTAGTAATTTTTTCCAAATTTTTGGTATAGTTTGATAGCCAGTCCTATAAGCTTTAATTTGATATAGGGGTTTAGATATCTACAGTTTAAACCGGACGCGCTACATCGCTTGCACGCGAGACACCCCTGAAGATGCACGGTAACCTTAATCACTATTCTTTGAACTCTAAATTTTTTTATCTTTCAATCCACTATTTTATTCATCGGCGGGGAAATAGCTAATAGAGAAACCAAACGAGTGAACAAATTGCTCGGAAGATGCAATAACTTATTTAACTCGCGTGGAGGAGATCCATCCCCAAAAATTTTCCTTCAAATTTTAATTAATTATTCCGAATTGCGACTGCGGCCAAATTTATGAAGTGTTATTATGTGGGCTGTAACCGACTCTTTATCTCAATTAATAAAGTTTAATTTAAGTACAATTTAGCGCTGAAAGTTAATTTACATGGCAAACAATAAGACATCGGCTATACCATTGTCTGACAACGATATAAAAGAAACTCTTATTTGTCACTAATTGAAAGGTGAAATAAGCAGTGCTTTGCGATATGTTGTCAGTTTTAAGACCGATAATTAAGTGCAAAAATTCTTCCTGAATTTTGGTCAATTCTGAACCTCAAGAGAGCTTTGTAATACGACTAAAAAAAGTGAACTTTAAGGAAAGTTTATCTCTAGAAAATGGTAGACATAAAATAAATGAAACTAGATTACATTTTAAAAAATACAACCGACAGATATTTAATATAAAGGGTCGCCAACGCCAGTAAAGACACCAAACACAATGCATAGCCTGCCATGTACGATATCGATAGAAACCCAGAGAGAGACTGGGCAACAAGACTAACCAACAGATCAGTTGTTGCCAGAACAAGGGAGTTTGGACGGTGGATGAGGGAATGATTCCTTGTGAAGGGCAACAAGAATCAGAGAATTCCTAAGAAATGCTGCGTTGGAGAGGAGAATGTGCACCGCTGAGGAGGAAATTCATGGTTGATATGACTCATCTACCAAACAAAGGAATAAAGAAAATTTTTTAAAACCAGTGTTTGCCTGTGTTTCGCCTCCTGTCAAATTTGGTTTCCTGTAACTGCAAGGAGAGATATCTCGTCTCCACGGCACCTGCCTAGCCACGAGCCCGTATCTCTTTTGGTAAAGGTAAATTTAAGCGTAAATAAGCATTAATTAAAAAAATCCATAGATCGGAAGACAAAATCAGCAAATGTAAAAGACATGGGCTATATCATTGATTGCTCACTTTTTCAATGTTAAAATTTAAGCAGTGTATTTAGATATCATGTCAATTCCATTCACCTTTTTTATTCTGCATGTCTGAAATATCTACAATATTCAGCTTACATAAGACTTTCTTAAACAGAAACAATCTAATGGAAAATCGCCACGCCATCGTCATTCGAGACACTACACGGAATCCAAAACTTGGAATGTAGACTGTGTCATCTACGAAAGACTCCATCAGTTGTTCGCGAATTATCAACATCCGCGAAGTAGCAAAGAGAGGCTGGGCAACAAGAAAAACCAACAGATCAATTATTGCCGGACAACAGCACAATACTTTGGAGGCGCATGAAGGGAAGAATCCTTGTGAAGGGCAACAAGGATCACAGAATTGCCAAGAAATGCTGTGACGGAGAGGAGAAT